ACCTCTCACCGAATTTGGTTTAGGGTTTAGGGGTTTTGAGGTGCTGATAGTTCTTAAACCCTAAACCATTATAGCGTTTTCTTGCCGCTGTTGTTTCTGGTGGTTGCATCATCGAATCGCTTCATTGTAAGCCCGCTGCGGCTTTCCGTACATTCACAGCAGAGCGCATTGTGCAGGAGCCCGCGTGTATGTACGTGTGTAACCAACCGCGTTCTTATCGTTCATGTAAGCTGCTGTGTAGGCCTCGTATGAAAATCCGACAAGTATGCCGCCGGGCCATTGATTGGTTGTGGTGGTCATGATTTTCGTTTTTTTGCGGTTGTTGTCGTCGTTGGTGTGTTGATACTGTCATTGCCATTGGTAGTCATGTATTACTGTATTACACAGGAAGAGACCGCAGGGCATGCTGGTTTTTTCGGAAGGCTGTCTCGAATAGTTGTGAATGCTTCTGTTTAGCGCAATTCCTCTTGTTAGGGGTACGTGTTGATTGCTATGCTTCTGTTGTAATGCTACCTTACCTATGGTTGCATGCCGCTGTCGTTTCTTTGGTCGTGTGTGTGTGTGTGTGGAGAGAGCAGCACATACTCACACTAAGAGTCTTGATTCGTCTTGATAACAGTTGCAGTCGTACGGTACATTTGTCAATCCTTTTTTAGCAGCTCAGCCAATAATCTCAAAATTACCGCGGCATACAACAGTAGGTGGTTGTTACTACCAGTATCATAATTTCTGACGATGGTGATAACGATGATTTTTCTTACTGCCGATGTTTGAAATTCTAGGTTGTGGTGGTCTTTCTGTGGCGTTTGTTGTTGTTGGTAGTGGTGGTGGTGCTGCTTCGTCTTCTATGCAGGCTCCAACGGCGAGTTCATGTTGATGCCTACAAGAAAATACTGTATTGAATTCTTCAATCACAGCCAGCCCATCCTTTCTGAGCAGAATAATGGCTCGGAAAACCCCGCAAACACGCACTCAACGGCATCAACATCATTAACCGTCCCTTTCAACGGTTTAGCTCAACTATGCGTGATCGTGTCCAGCTGAACAACATTAACCGGTAGCGTCAGCACTGCTACTAGCGGACACTTCACCGACCGTCTTCACCTCAATACAACCACGTATATTTTCTGGATCACGGACAACCCCGAGCCAAGGCACACTGCTGTTGTTGTGTTCTGGTGCCTGAGCAGATGCATCGCCGTGAACAACATCGCATGTTATATTAGACCCTGCTGAACTAAATTAGGATGCCTTTTCCACGTGCTTTCAGGGTGGTTGCAGGGGCCTTTTGCAAAACCAATAATTTTCTTTAGGATCGTATCGTTCGGGAGTCGTTGTTAACTCCGAAGTAGTAAGCGGAGACTCTCAGTCCGAGAAAAGGCTGTCTGAGAACTTACAAGGCACATGACCAAATCCCTCCGAGGGACAACAAACACAACTCAAGGGTAAGCACATGATGTCCGGAACCCCAAAGCAGCAAATCTGCATGAATCCTGAGCCCGAATCCTGAACATGGAGGTCTCCCGGGGCGCGCAGCACCCTCGTTATGCTTCCAAGCACTCGTAATACTTTGTCTTGAGCTGTTGCATATGTAAGTCCTTCCGAGAATTGAAAGATCTTATTGCCAGGACTGCTCATGTTAGTTTTGAATTCTTTGACACATTTGTGCGGTTTCTGCTCATCCTTCGCAATTTTTTGCATCGGCGTTGCTGTCTTGAGGATTTTCGAGGCTCGTGCTTTGGATTTGGCACCCATATTAGTTTGTGGTGGGGTAAGGTGTCAGTTAACGGGCGCAGGCTTGCGGGTCTGGCTCAGCATCCAACGTGTAGCACACAGGACTTTGATGGAGACCTGTGAGATTCATTCAATACTTGCAGTCTCGCTTCAACATGAACCCCAACTTGCTCTCACCGCCAGACCCCCGACCCGAGCCCAAAACTTGGAGATCCGCCAGTTCGGCCCTGACCCAAATAGTAGCCCGGGACCTCTAGACCTTATAAATCCCGATACCGAGGCTAACTGTGGCTTGAAAATACTTGAAAGGAGTCCCCGTGCCCACAGTCTGAAAACCCAGACCCCGCAGTCTATACTCGCTTCAGAGTTCAGCGGCATCGCCTTTCTGCGAAAAAACAAGGTCACCGAGCGGGCTCCTCGGGGACCACTAGACACCTGCATCAACAGGATGCTGGATGCCAATGTGTGCTCGAGAGCAGGGAATCTCAGAAGAGAGAAGACCCTGAATATAACCACCACTATACCATCTACGAGAAAAATGGCTTGAAGGATGGGCTCGGAAACCTTTGCCGGGATCTTCGACGAGGTTCGTGGGACAAGCCCTGTGTCTCTGACTGCCCGTTCACAACAAACCTTGCTGCAGAGACAACCGAAGGTGTGTCGTGTGTGGCGGAGGCGAAGGAAGGAACAGAGGATCGGGTTTGAAAACCATCCCAAAGGGCCCTAAGTCCTAAGTACCTACATAGTGGAATGTAGGGCTGTTTTGTAGGAATTTCTATGATGATTTGGGAAAGTTTCTCCGATAACAATACCTAGGACCCTTTGGGTATACGGTTTAGGGTTTCGGGTGGACCAAATGAAAGGGTCCGTTTTGAAGAGTATGTGAGGTTGTCAGCCCAAGACGAGCAATTCGGACACACGACTTCGACTCGCAGACTCGCTCAAGCCGGGCACGGATCCGGCGCCAGGCCCACTTTACTTGGGCTGCTTGACACAGGATTTAGTTCACCATTGAGTTTTTTAGGGTATCTGAACATCCGTACACCCAACAGCCCAACGAGCTCGTTGCTGCCTGCACCACCGCTTGGCACAGCAGCTGCAGGCCCTGGCAGCAGGCCGACAAGCTGTACAATGCTGATCTTGCGTGACTCTGCGCAAAATATCTCTCGGGGAACTCCCCAAGTGCCTATGCAGATCTCGATTTGTAACTCGTCGTTCTTGCAGGTCTTCTATGATCAGCTTTTCAACACAGTTTCCTATGCATGTTCAATAAAAAAGCAGGTTTCGGGTCCCTTACATCCGGCCTCAAGGCCCAAACGCCTTAATTTCGGGACTGAACAGCCTGTAGGACCCCTATAGTAATGGAAGCCCTGTCAAGCAATCTACAACATGTACGGCGGAAGCCCGAAACCCCTGGAATGCCTCTGTTATACCCCAAACGGCCGCTGCAAAGGACCGTGTCATGGGACCTTCTTGTGGTATACCTGGCAGCGTCCTGGAAAATCTGAGTCATGCATAGATAGAAGTGCATATAAACCTATGCGGCTCCTATATGATCAGAAAACCACAACGCACCATCCTCCTAATACCATGAATCATAAAACACTGTTGTGCTATCCCACGTCTTGCGCAACGACTCTCACCATCCGAAAGTCCCAAAGTGCCTATGCAAAGCTCGATGCTTAAGCCTTTTCATCAGACTGTGATCATGTCGCAGGGATTGCATAATGTTACCGAACGAAATCCCAAGCTCAAGAACCGTGCGAGATGGCGGAGTCCTTGTGGTACGTCCCATTGAGCGCCGTCACAGCTGCTACGGCTGCCTCAATGGTGCTGTGGGATGCCTCCGATTTACACCTGGAGAACTGCCTCCTCTTCCATGTAATGTTCATCAGGTGAGGAGCGGGTTTATACGGCGTAGATAGGATGACACCCATCATGTTGCAAGCCTAGCTTATAGCAGCACCCTTCGTATCATCATTGGCAACTACGCTAAACACGGATTGGACCCTCATCCCTTCCGCTTGAGTGGAATGCTTCATATGCAGCCCCGGCACTGCCCAAACCTCCTCCCTCACTGCAGCCGCCTGAGCGCGGAGCTTTCGGCGGCTAGAACGCTAGGGCTCCTCGGGGGTCCTTTCGTTGTTGTGTCGGTTGTTCGTCTGGGTCTACTGTACGACGGGGCACGCGCTGCCTGGACCCTTAGATCCTTCCCGAAACCCAAACCCTGAGCCCCTACTATTAGGTTTTTTTGTTAATGTGCAATGGGCCTTTCTCCGCAGCGAACGGGTACTATTAAATTAGGTTTGGGGTGTAAGGCTGGACAGAAGATGTCGGTCTTCGGGAAATGGTAGTTTAGACTGCAGGACGTGGGTAGGGGTGTTATCTGGCGTCTGGTTTCCGGGCTTGGGGCTGGGCATTTGTAACATTATAAACCTTGTACTCATTCCGCCTCGAGGATGAGAACGACTCATGAATCCATGAATTCTCGAGGCGGTGTTTCCACGGGGTCCAAACACAAGTGGGCATCAGGGATTGACATATGAGATCTCCTGGCAGAGTGCCATGCGTCTCGGGTGCCGAAGGAAAGGCAAATTCTAGCATAGGACTTGCCTCTCATGTTCGTTCACCTAGCCTACTCAAGGCCTGTCTCACGAGCCTTCACAGCCTAAGGGTCTAGGGATAAAACGCTGCAGCGGTTAGGGTTCAACGAAGGGTCGAGGTTTTCTGACCCCATCCTGGCTCACTGTCGCATGCAGAATCCCCACCATATCCGGCCACTCGGGAAGGAGTGTGGTGCTTAATCGCCTGCTAACAAGCGTTTGTATCCCTTATCTAAACTATGCACTTCTTCAAGAATGGGGCTACCTTGAAATCAGGTCGCTTCTAGAAGATTCCAAATGGTCTGTCCTCCGCACTCATGATTTTCCGGCCTTCACGGGGGGTAGTCGTCAGGGGCCGAAAAACAGTTCCGGGGGTCGGAAAACGTGCTGCAGGGGGTCAGAACGACAACCTCTGGGGGAGGGGAAATCGGGTGGTCGGGCAAGTGGGCAAAAAAACAACATCAGGCCGGATTGGGATCAAAAAAACCATGGCGGCCGAACAAGTTAGTAGCCATCGTTGGTGGCAGACTCGATTATCGGGTTTTTTTTTTTGAACGGCCCTTTTTCGACTCGCAAGGATCCCGAGAAGGGTATTCCGCTGGGCGTGATGGGAAGGCACTTACAGGCCTCGCATCAGCCCCCGACTCAAGCACTTGAGATACTTCAGATACCTCCATCGTCACATACGCTGCCACCCTCAGCATCATCACGATGTTCGACAGCTGCAGCATTCCTTTGCTCACCACCATCACCGTGTCCCCACATCGACTGATCTGGCATCACAGGCACCTCCAGCGGACTCACCCCCAGCTCAGACAGTACTCCTTCACCAGAGTCAGGTAGGTCAAGGACGGTATCACGGTCATCGCCACGGAGCTGTCCATGTGCCCAGGTGTCCCGATCACCAACCGTCGTCAGGGGAGCAGCTCGTATTGTGGTGGTATCGCTATCACTGGTCCGCCCTCCTGGTTCTCCTGCAGCTTGTTCTCCCGTGTGAACCTCAAGGTGGATCACTCCGCCGGGGGGAAGAGGCAGCTCATGCGAGCTCGATGCACCACTCGAAGGCTCGTGCACACGGACTACAACCCGGCGCCGTTTTCGAGCCGGAGGTGCCATGAGTTCATCGAACAGAGCCCAATCATCCCATTCCCGTGCACGGCGAGAGTTCTCCAGCTCATTCTGGTGGCGGCGTTCGGCATCGTCCCAAAAGTCCATCATGCTCTTTGCGTCCGCCTGCCAAGCACGGAGTTCGCTGTCTTCATATGCCACCTGGCTGTCCGTAGGGCCAGGGTGTTCTGCTTCATTCTCGAAGGAGTCGATCATATGAGGTTGCGCAGCAGTTTCGGCGGCTGCGATGGCCGCCCGGAGCTGGAAGGAGTGGTCGCAGCCGGGCCCACCATTGCTCAATGAAGCTGGTGTCCTCGTTCCCAGGCTCTGTGACCGTCTCATCGCCGCCATCGGCCACAGCATGCGCCGTCAGTAAGGCTTCGACCCCCTCTGCGGCAGCAGGAAGGCCACACCGTCCTCCACTGATGTCATAGTAGTGACGTAGGCGGTGCAGGAGCGTCAAAGCTCGCCTCACACGCGCCATGACCTCCGTTTGCGAGAGGCGGAAGTCCACACCCTGAAGTACAGAAGACAGGCCATCAACTGGGGAGGCCCGTCGTGTAGCCAGGGACGTTTCCATGAGGCCTGCCTCGTCATGATCTGGGTCAGGGATCGGTGTCGTCATGGTGGTGGTAGGAGCCCGAGGAGTGGAGGGGCATGAAGAGGTCGGCGAAGAGGAGCTCGATGAGGGGCATGGGGAGGTCGGTCTCCGAGTAGATCGCCTCCGATTTGTTCTGGGTAAGGGTCTCCCAAAGTCGTCGTTCTCCCCCGAGCTGGGCGCGTTTTCAGAGTCCACATCCTCGGGCAAGATGATGGCCTCGTCCAGGGGAGTCTCTCGGAGGACCCGGTAGGTGTTGGTGCCCGCTCGAATTCCATCAACCGCCTCGAAGATGCCAACTTGCCTTCGTGGTGTGCCCGGCGGGGGGATGCGCAAGGCAACCCAGTCCAACCAGAGCAGGTTCTCAACCCACGAGGCCCAGACCAGGTCGTCGGCATGGTCGTCCCCATATGGGTTGGTGATCCCCCGGCTCAGCCATCTGACAAAGGGTCGCGCGTAGGCCTCGTAGGATGGCGAGTCCCTGTTGGAGACTAGCCCTCTGAACACTCGCACGAGCCCTCCGTTTCCCCCGCCGCAGTTGCGCAACAGAGCCAGTCTCAGCTGGGCACCTTCGAGCCAGCGTTGAGCTTCTGCCGGAGGTTCTGCTTCTTCCCCGCTGGTGGAAGCTGGCGATCGCGACCTGGAGCGAGGTGAAGCAGGGACCTGTTCAGGAGGACCCGTGATGTCCCCCTCATTGTCTGGTGCCGGTGGATCAGCATGAGGTAGATCGCGATGTGGTGGTAGTGGTATCCCTCGCTGAACGAGACAGGCATCGTCGTGCCCAGCCGACTCTCCCTTTACCCGCATACCCACCTGCATCAAGAGTTCCTCGTCAGTCTCGTCGTACTCGGCAATCACCTCGACCATATCCGAGTCCGCAGCTGTGGTAGGCGGTGGGCGAGCAGAAGACGACGCCCCGGAAGAAGGACGAGCCGGGGCAGATGAGGGCCTGGCAGAGGGTCTGGGCCGTGGTGCTGTTGGAGGCGGTGGGATTCCAGTCTCGATCAGCTGTATGAGTTCATCCTGGATGTAGTTGAGGCACTGTGGTAAGCTTCGCTGCATGAGCCCCCGGGCTCGTGGGCACATTGAGGTAAGGGCGGTCTGAACCGCTCTCTGCATGTGCTCCGGCACGGTTGTAGGGAGGCTAACCCCAGAGTCGTCAGTGAATCCCAGCAACTGCAACCATTCAGCAATTGCCTCCGTAGTGTCAACCGGGCCCGCAGTGCTGGAAGGAGCACCCGGGTCTGTGTGAAGAGCCCCATGAGGTGTGAGCCACACGGTGGACTCTGTAACCTCCGTAACCGTTGGGGTCCTCGAGCGTGGGCGGTCAGGACGGTTGGGCCTGGTAGTCCGTGGTGTCCGGGAGGATCGCTGAGACGTGCCCACAAGGGAGTTCACATCACCCTCAGTGTCAAGCTCAGCATCGTCCCCTCCCTCGTCAGGTTCCAGCCTGCGCCGAGTGTTACGTGAGAGGGTAGGGGTAACAGGAGGGGAGGCAGCAGCCCGCCGGGCCCGACGTTGCTCGAAGTATTCCTGCATTCTCCGGATGCCTCGAGCATTAGAGGCCGCAGCTTCATACACCCCCTTTTCCAGGCGATGTAGTAGATCCGTTTCGGCCTCGTCCAAGTCAGTTCCATCCCGAGGTCGGTGTCGGCGAGCGTACCTTGCACAGACGTCCCGCGCAGGTCGAGCGGCCTGAGAGTAGCACCAGTCCACCATGGAATCGCCGCACGGAGCCTCGAACATTTCCCACAGTTGGTGGGCGATTTCCCCCGCCGTGGCGGAGTCCCCATCACGCACCATGTAGCGGAGGTTGCACTCAATGATGTCCGTGGCCTGGTCCCGCATCATTGGCCAGTTGTCGGCACGCGAGTCGTGCCAGATTCTGAAGCCAGTAACGGGGTCTTCGGTGAACGTGACGTTGCCAGGAACTGGTGCACGATAGCGATGGGTAGAAGAAGGAGTAGAGGGCAGCGAGGTCGGTGAAATCAAAGTCGTAGTAGCCCCCATAGAGCCCGGCAAAGACACGCTCGAGGAGGCAGGGGGGTCACCGAGTCGATCAGGAGGAGGGTCGTGGAGCTCGTGTTGATCGGGAGCCGAAGACAAAGAAGAAAAGGCTTGCGCGTTCGCAAGCACGTCGGAGCGAGTGGAGTTGGGTTGGGGCGGCCCATCAGGGTGCGCCAACACCTGAAAAGTCAACCAGGTCACCATCACGGTCGACCAGGCAGGAACATGTAGAAGACGAAGAGCGTGATCCCAGGCCATGATGTTCGGTGCGAAGGCAGGGACAGGCAAGGCTCGGTCTCAACTGGAGAGGTAAGGCACGGGAATCAGGCAGAAGGGCCGTCACAAGCCGTGCAGGCACATCCCTAGTTGAGTGCAAGCTGCCTTCCAGAAGCCCACTGAACATCAACAAGCTCGACCCATGCAGGCAGACGGCCTGCCCATCGGACTCGGTCTTGTGCCAGTATCCGCCAAGGTCCTTCGGCCGCAGTATCGAGCTTCGACTCTGAAAGCATAAGTCTGGCGTAGAAGGCCTTCGGGTGTTTGACTCTCTCACTGTCTTTCTTGGTTTTTTCTTTGGTCCACCACTCACGTGTACGGTATGAGCACATCAGTGCTGCCGCGGACGGCACCGGATGCAGCAGACTACGGGCGAGATGGCCCAAGGAGGACCAGTGTCTCTCCGCCCATACCGTGGACCATCTCTTGTGGCGGCCCTGCCAGAGTGCTGCCCTGGCGGCCCTGCGGGCCTGTTTTCGGAAGTCCAACCAGCCAATGTCCGCCCCCCTCTTCAAGTTCATCATGCTCATGATTAGCTGAAGCTGGAACGTGTTCACCATGTGCATCGCAGGGTCTTCCGGAAAGAAGGAGGATATACACCAGAGCCCGCACCCGGCAACCACCTTATCCATGAGCCTAATCCTGGCGTGAAGCGGGGTAGAGGAGCACAGAAGCTTCTTCATCGACCAGAACACATCCCTGGCTCTCGCCAACAGACCCGCTAGTAGTTCGCACGTGGTGGCCTTGACCTTCATGGGGAGCCCCATAATGGTGAGGGTATCCTTGGCCACCAGCTTCTCTCCCATGACCGTAATCTCCCTGGGGCCGTGGTTGTGGGGGCTGATGTAGAGCTCACACTTAAGCAGGTTGATCCGCAAGCCGCACCTAGCCAGGTGCTCCGCCCATTGAGCAACCCGCTGCCCCAAGGTCGCTACACGGCTGTTCCACAACACTGCGTCGTCAACAAACATCATTTCACTGAGGCGTAGCCCGGGAAGCGCCATATCCTCCCTGGGCCATTGATGTTCAAGCGCTGCTGACTCAAGGGTGAGCTCGGCAAGGCACGAGAAAAACAGGGGTGATTCAACCGAGCCTTGGCGTATTCCACGCTGGGCTTCAATCTCGCTAGCTCCCCAGGAGGTCTCGAGAGACAGGAAGGTACGGGAAAGCAACAGCTGCCAAATACGAAGTTCGTGAGACCGGCCAAGCTTGGATTCCAGGTAGTCACACAGTGCCACTCGGCTTACACAGTCGAACGCCTTTTCGATGTCGACTTTCAAGTAGGCAAACCCTGCCCCCCACTCATGGTCGAGCGACATGAGCCTATGAGCACAGAACACGTAGTCGCAGGTCTGTTTGTGTGGCCCCGCCAACTGGCAGGGCCCCATAGCTTGCACCCCCCGCTTAGCCCGTTCAAGAAGGATCCGGCAGAAGGTTTTACTGATAGCTGAACTCATGCAGATCGGTCTGAGCTCCCGGGGGAGGGTGGGGCACGCCGTCTTAGGGAGGACGACCATGAGCCAACGGTACCAGTCATCCGGGAGATCCCCGGTAGAAAGCAGGCGGTTGAACCACTCCTGCATCGCCACCGCTCCACCATCCGCATTCATGATTCCCAGCAGCAGTTCCTGTGATGTGCCGTCCTGGCTAACACTAACCCCTCTCTTGCCCTTCTGCACCGCCGACTTCAGCTCATCCATCGTGATAGGAACAAAGTCACCGGTGGGGGTGCAGATGGACACTCTCTCATCGGATTTGTAAATGTTCTGGAGGTGATCATGAATGGTCTGGTGGGGATCGTCATGGGCATCAGCAAAGCCTAGCTCCCAGTCGTTCTTAGTCTGTTTCCGGAATTTCTTGAAGGCACCCCAATCCCCTTGCACTGCAGCTTCAAGTTGGCAGCGCTCCCATGTCGACCTCGCCTTGCGCCTGGACTGAAATGCTACCTTCCAGTCCGCGCTTTCCCGGCTGAACCTAGCCATCCGAAAGAGAGCCTTGACGTCCTCAGGGTCCTTGTATCCGCGCCCCTGCTTGGGGCCAGTGTGGCTTTTTGCCATCTCCACCAGTGCTTCCTGAGAGATTTCCCGCACAGGGGGAAGCGGCTTCAGGAGTTGCCGCGGCCTCGTATCGGTTCGAGGTCTTCGAGTGGCATGCCTGAGGGAGGCTTGAAGTGTGAGGACATCATGATCAGTACCGAGGACCTGATTACTCCCAGGAAGGATGGAAACTCGGCTGGTTCCCATTCTAGCAGCTGCAAGAAAATCAATCTGGCGTCCACATCGGTCCTGCTGGCGGGGCTGTGTAGAGGGAGTACTCAGCTGATCGGGTCGGGGAGGTACTAGCCGAAGTCCTCGAGAACTCATCCAATGAAGAAGGTTGACCGTTTTCCCGTTCCTTCCAAGAGGAGTACATTCACCCTGTGTGTCGTCAGCCCAGCAAACCTCCGAGTTTGAATCCCCCGATACCAGAACCGGCAACTGAGTCGCTGGAAGCTTCTGCAGAAACTCTTGAAGGGACACTGCATGTTCATCCTGGCTCAAGTCCGGTCTCAAGTAAACCGAGCCAACCCATACCTCGGTGCCAAAGTCGCGGTGGCGAAGCCTGAACCACGTGCCTTTGGGCGCCTGCAACCGGCGCATGACATTCCATTTGGCCGTGTGGTACATGATCCCTGTGCCCCGCCATTGGTCTGAGCACCTGTGGCCAACTATTTTCCACTGGTCAAAGTTAACCTGCTGCCAGCCGGGAGCCGAACGCGGAAGCTCTTGCAACAGCAGGAGATCAGCCTCTTGGAGGGATCCGCCCACAGCTTCAGCTACCTTCCGGGGAAAATCATCCAAGGCAGCACCTCCGACGTTCCATCCCCGGGCACAGACTAGGTTCTTGGAAGGCTCAACATCATGTCAGAAGCGATGCTGTTTGACCTCATCCTCGATGGTTTGGCGAGACACCTTCAAGGTCTTGGAGAGGCCAATTTCATCGATCCAAGCAGGCCCGGCTCTTGTCTCAATCGAGGTGGTGTTCGAGACGGTAGACGCTCCCATGCCCGCAAGCTGCATATCACCCATCCAGGCCGCACCAGCCGCATAGTCAAGGTCGAGCTCTGAGGGGTGGGTAGCTCGATGGTGAGCCACAATTTTCTTGACACATCCTGCCACGCTTGCACGTCCCCGCTCCGCCGGGGAGCGGCTGAAGGAACACCAAAGGTTACGACGCCCCCCTTGAAGCGCAAGGTCAGCCTTGTTGATCTCCTGCACAAGCTCAAGCATCCTCCTACGAAGCTCAGGCGGGCTTTCCGAAGATCGCTGAGTGAAGTTGCAGAGTGCCACTGCTCGACGAGGCCCTGTAGTAAAGGGATCGCTGTCGAGAAGGTGATTGAGCTTAAGGTGGGAAAGTGACTCGGAGAGCTGATGCAGGATCACATTCCGCCTCGTGTTCTCTGCCCATCCCCCAAACACCAAGCTCGTCCTTCTCTGGTCGCCCCCGGAGCCACCGGGGACGCCCTTGTCCTCCAAGGCCTTGATGCGGTCCAAGGCGGTCCTCAGCTGGTCTTCCATGGTATTCGACTTGGCAAGGGATGCCTCAACTTTCGCATCCAGTCTGCTGAGCTTCTCGTCCTGGCGCTTTTCATGCTCCATGAGAGTCTCTTTGAGAGAGGCATTTTGAGCTTCGAGGAGAGAAGCACTCTGTTGGGCAAGTAGCATCTGCAACGTTTCCACCGTGACCGCCACGGCCCCCGTGGACTCGGCCTTGGTCCGCTTGGATGGGCTTTCAGCCCTCTGCGGCCCCCGGTTTTTTCCCGGGGCATGCTTGGGGGTGTCCAACTCCGGGTCGTCCTCCATCAAGGCTCCTGGCAGCCCAGCCACAAACTTGTTCGACATGTTGCCCTCACGTGCTATCCGACAGACACAGCGTAGACGCCCCGGCTAATCGTGTAATCGAGGAAGTCCACGAGCCCCGACAGCGTAGAAGCTCCGGCTAATCGTGTAATCGGGGAAGCCCACGGGCTCCGGGACCGATCACGTCAAAGAGAAAGCCCCGCAAGACCGCCCCCGCAAAGCACTCGTGGCCCAGGGAAGCGAAGAGAGACCAGGGAGCCCCTACAGGTGAGGAGCAAAGAGGAGGAGAAGTCAGCCCACACACAGGCCTTGAGCCTTGAGCCAAAATGGCTACGGTTATCGGGTTTCGCACTCGGGGCTGCGAGGCGACAGCATTTTCTGCGCACGGGTCGGCGAGCCAAGCAAAATCCAAAGAACCCCGGTCTGAGCATCATAAAACCAAAACATCTGAAAGGTTCAAACCAAGTCAGACTGCACCTAGACTCTGAGACTCAAGAAGCTGTCGAGAAACAGGCCTCCACTGGTGTCCGCAATGTAATAACCAGAACCGAAATAGCGGCGCAACGGTGCGGTGTTGGCAACGCTCAAGCTTCGATCGATGCGGCCCGGAGACGTGTTGCCAAGGTTGCGGAGCCCGGCCGTGCCCGCAACCTTGTTCGCCGTGCCGCGTTCCACCAGTCCTTGGGAGGCGCGAGGAAGATTGTGACTTATCGACTATTGAGCAGTGAGGGTTGGGCCCTTGTCTACCAAGACTGGAGCAACGCCATGATCTTAAGTCTTAAGGTGCCCAGTTGCTCTGTTGCTCCACAAAGCTTCAACTGTGGAACCTCTAGAACCCTAAAACTTTTTCCCTAAACCCTAATCTATGCCGAACCTGGCACCCGAGCAAAAATTACAAGTCTGGCTGAACCCTAAACCCTAAACCCTGTTTAGGGAAGTTTAGGGTTTGTATGGCGTGGTTTAGGTAAGTATCTCGGGCTTTGGCCCGAGGTTTCTAATAGGATTGAACTCCTGTGCTGGTAGTGCCCTTGTAGCTGAAGTAGTTTCAGGGCCGTCATGATTGGAATAGGGTGCTGCGCGGCCTCCAAAGAGTGCTGTAAGGTTTTCGAACAGCGGTCTTGTTTGAACACAGTCTGAGTCTTGGGTTTGCTGGAGCATGCTCATAAACGCAACGGTCATAAGGGGGCGCACCCCTACATTAATGCTTAGGGAGTAGACATGAGGGTTGGCAGCTAGTTTAAAGGCGACTCAACAAATCCACGGAGGCAAAGTCGATGTTCGAGTGTGGGGTGTACGGTTGAGGGTGCTGGATCTTCGGGGTTTTGAAAGCGATGACCACGAGAACGGCCCTGATGATGAGGATCCGATTATTTCCGGTCGATGCTTGCAATCTCAGGTTTCTGAAATGCCCTTAGTACTGCAAAGCCTAAATTCCGTAAGCCCCAAAACCGTGAACCTCGTACACTGGGCTCAACGCAGATCCTAAACCGTAAACACAGAAGCCTGGGCTCAACAATCAGAGCTCAAACCGACCCCAAAACCCACAAGCCTAAAACCGTAAACCCCTCAAAACACAAACACAGCTCAAAACCAATAAGCCGTAACAGCCCTATGCCCTCCATTCGTAGAAACAGTGGCGGTGCTGCTCGAGCAATGCCTGCTGCAGCCTGGCACGAGGCGGAAACCCAAAACCTGAAACCCTAAACTGCGGCTTAGTTAGGGTTTCGGGATCAAGACCCACCCGACGTCTTCCCTTAAACCTTCGTGCTCTTTATGGGCATGGTATACCAGGCGAACTCCCACGCACTTACCGCCAGCAAAAAATCTTCACTCGTGCTGCACGGACATCGGAAATAAGCCCGACGGCAAAGACACAGCTGAAAGCCAAGCCAAAGACCTTGCTCTCAGCAGCCCTGTGCCTCTTCCGGTGTCAGGTTGGATGACCTTAACCACTGCAAAACCTAAACGCCTGGATGCCTGCCTCTCTCGTCCATTCGGAGGTCGGAGGATTAATCTATAACGAAATGCTATCTGTCAACAGCCGCTTTGACAAGTTGTGCTTCACACAGTTTGCTCAGGGATCCGACAGAACCTACATCTTGGGGGGCGCTCTGCATGCTCTCCTGCCAGCTTAGCCACCTCTGTCGATCCGCAATGTCGCTGCAATGTGGTTTAGATAAGTAGCTTTGAGCTCCTCACGTCTGAGCAGGTCGCATCCAATGGAATCTGGGAGTGTCTCATCGCCATCTTCACAACAGAAAGAGCAGTACCTGAGATGGCGGCTTTGAGCAGCTGCATCCCAGTCTACAGCACGCTTTGACATCGCTGTTTGTAGCATCCAGCGCTTTCAACACAACCGCTTGAAAAATGCTCGGAGGCGCTAAAGGCCGAGGAAGTTGCAGCATGAACATGGCAGATCGTTGTCATCGTTCGCGACCCTCCATTCACCCTTCATACGAAGTATTACGCAGACCATGCCCCGCACTGCCTCTTCGCAAGCTGGGCAAAAATGTGAACAGGGATCAGATCCTGTTCGGACCCCAGCTTTCAAACTTTCAGTTTCAAGGACATGTCAAATTTGTGCGGAAGCCAGTTTTCGCGCCAGCTTGATTGAATACCTGTCGGCCCTTGCATATTCGAGGAGTGCAAGCACATGGGGGATGGGGAAATTCCCCCATCAAGACAAATTACTGCAGGCTGGTTGGTGAGAGCCGTACCAATGCCGGCTACTGGTGTCCACCCTGGCGGCAGCAAACTTCGAAAACCCAAGCAGCTTTGACAACTAAAACATATATACACCTGGAAAGTGCAAAATGAGAGGTATATGTATATGCATACGCGTAATCATATACATATATAGGCAAGTTTCTAAATTTGCAAATATCTACACACATATAAATACTTAGGCATAAAAGCGGGCCCATGTACGCATGCATGTAATACATATCATGTACATATACACATACATCTACATAGACTTGCACTCATACTTTTTGAACATAGACATATAAACATACACTTACGTAAATGTTGAAGTAAAACAAAATGCGTATGCATACACACATGTACATGGGTACATAGTATATATATACACACATCTAGATATGTATGTATGTAACCTCAACAGTCTATGAGACATGGAAAACTAAAACAAACTGCAGTGTGTGTATATACCCATGCCTGCCAGCGAGCCATATGTATGTATGCATGTATGTATGTGCGTGTGTGTGTGTGCGCGTGCTTGTATAATGAAACTGTCTGTCTATCCATCTACCCATCTTTCTACACATCGTACACAGTACAGACAGATATAAGTGGTATAAGTACTATTGTGATATAAGTACTTTTACGGACAGAAATTCGCATTCATTTTTCACTGCTTCTACCTGTACATACTTACTTTCCTGCATAACTGTGTAGAAAGAACTGGCCACAACGCAGGTCGCTTTCGAGATCTCCTCCAAACCGTTTATGAGACAGTAACAAGGTGCTGTTGCGTTCATGTCCGGGATTTAGGATCAGCCTTCTCGTTTCTTTTGTTTTACCTGAAAGTTGCATCTACAAGAACCTCGAGTTTGTGATTTGGGCTGCTGTTGGACACACTAACTTGGGGAAACGGCCTCGGCCATTCCAGGATGCGTCAAGGCTTCAAGCCAACCCTAAACTCGAACTTCCGACACAGCTGATCGTGGCCAGAACATGCGGTTGAAAAGCTTGCAGGCTTGCAGTACTGTGCCAACAGCTCATATTTGAACCTGTGCCATGAAGCACTTCAGCTGAACGAAATTTTAGCGCCAGCGGTACCTTCGTTTGGCTGAAGTCTTTGGGCCCACTGTCTGTGGCGTTCCGTTCCGTGCGGATTTTCGCGTATGCCCGTTCCCCGTTCGATTCAATTGTGTGCGCAGTGCCTACTGCTCTGTGGTAGCAAGATACAGTGTCAGTGCATCAGGCTGCTGCAGCGACGAGTTATCTGTTCCGAAATACCCGTGTGCTGCCTCTACATTTCGCCTGCCGTCTCCTCGCAAAACCATAGCAAACCACCGGGATCAAGATGGCCTCGATGCTTGCGCCTTGGCCACCGAGGCAGCTACAACTTGTACTATCCTTCCACGATGTTTCAAAAGGATGCATGTGGCATGAGGGGCATAGGAGGGCCACCACCTGAATCGAGGTCCGCAAACGGGTCTATTGGCTGCCAACTGAGACGAAGACGATCGGCAAAGCTGGCATCCAAGGCCACATCCATCGGCTTAGACATGGCAGGCCAAACAGCCTACGAGATTTGGCGGAGTGAGTGAATGCAACTTCGAATCTCACCCACATGATTTCGCTACAAGCTTCCACACGTTTGGTCGTAACTACCCGGTGATACCCGCAGATGGCTGGTGGCGTTAGACCTTGGGTGAAAGCCCTGATTCCTATAGGAATCAGGACATGCGCCCAATGCTACCACTGGATGTTGTGACCTGCGTGCAATATGCATGATTGCGCACTTCCTGCCGAAGTCGCCTGATCCTCGCGCCAAAAAGCTTCGAAGGCGTCCGAAGTAGACACTCTACCAGGGCTTACGAGGGCAATGGGCGGGCACGCTGCTCTTGGAAGCTATCTCCTACGGCTTGTTCACGACTGCATATGGCCGTTGTGATGCCATCGCGGCGATTTCTAGTTGCAGCCAATTTCTAGCACTACCTCGCGGCAATCAGGTGGTCGTCAGGCTAAAGGCAAACAGGCTAGCAACGACTGTGTGCCGTACGCGCTCAAACTTCGACTTTCTCGTTTGTGAGGCGGTGTGAAAGTGCCGCTATCACAGGATTCCATCTGTCATGCGGTACTGTGGTCGTGGCAAATCTCTGCGACATCATGTTTTCAACCGGGACGGGATGCGATGCCTTCCTATCGAATTTCTACCCAACCAGGCCAGCAACAGTTGCGTTTCGTGCCTGCTCTTGGCGGAGTCTCTAGCTTCGATGCGCTAGGGAACAGGCCCGGACTGAACTCGGAGGTGGGATTTGAATCCCGTACAGTTTGGGAATACCTTGTGA